AAAGTCATAGCACTTTATCATCCTTATATTCATATTTAAGCCACGAGTCAGGAAAGCTCCCCGTCTTACACATAAATGCTGTATTTATGTCATATATCTAAAATGCTTGACGATAAATATATATACCGCATTTGGGAATAAGCCGGTGAGCTTTCTTGACTCACTGATTAGAATATGCAAAGAAAAGTTGAGTAGCAAGGAATCTTTCATTTCATAATTGTTGTGCCTACTTCATGTTAGAGCGAAAGTGTTTGGTGAAGAGATTCGAATGTCGATTCCACCAGGAGATGACGGCGGATTCCTCTTGACCAGCTGTCGATTGGTTTTACTGGATAATCCATGCTGACGCTGTTACCGAGGTAGTCTCCATTGATTCCAGTGAAAAGGTGCTAAGCTTGCGTTCGTCATATGACGGACATCATCAGAGCGAGTACTCATCTTCACAACCAAATTCAAACTAGAGTCAATCACTTTATACCTAATCAAAGAGGCCAGATATAGAGTATATATTGAGCTTTTTAAGGATTTGCCGGTGAGTTTTCTTAATTCGTTAGTTTGAATTTGGTTGTGATGATGATATCTTGCTCTGAGGATGTTCGTCATATGACGGACGAAAGCTCAGAACCTTTTCACCGGAATTGAAGGAGATTACGTCGGCAACAGCGTCAGCATGAATCTTCCAGTAAAGCCAATCGACAGCTGGTCAAGAGGAATCCGCCGTCATCTTCTGGTGGAATCGACCTTTGAATCTCGTCACCAAACACTTTGGCTCGAAATGGAAGTAGGCACAACAGTTCGAATATGGTTATAAGGATGATGTCCTGTTCTGATGATGTCTGTCATACGACGGACGGAAGCTTAGCAGGTCTTTGCAGTAATCGAAAAATATTGCCTTAGAAATAGCATCAAAAGGTATGTTTTAGTACAACTAATCCACAGTTGGCTAAGATCAATCCTCCATCGGCTTTGGTGGGATCAATATTCGAATCTCTTCATTAAACACTTTCACTCGAAATGAAAGTACATTTCATATAGCTTTGATTCCTACAACGGCATCTTATTTTGGCCAGGCTATAGCGGGACTAAATTTCGGGTCGTGCATTCTAAACGAAAACGTTTGTATTCTATGACTCAAAACTTCGGTTGATAAATATCCGTGATTTAACTTCTCCTGAAACCGAAATGGGATTGCCTTGAAAGGAAAACTGTTGAATTGAACATACAAGTCCTCGGCTTACTGCTCTAAGAATCCGCTAATTCCGTGTTAAGCTTTCTTATATCATGCTACCGACATCTTCGAAACAAGATGCTATACTTTACGAAATAGCTCCTCAGTATAGTTTTGGGTTAGTAAAGTATGGTTATTTGCTCTGAAGTTGCCTGTCACATTATGGAAGAAGGCTTAACACGAAATTATCAAGTTTGTGGAGCGGTGTGCCGAGGAATTCTTGGCACAATTCAATAGCCTTCACTTTAAGGCAATCCCCCCTCGGATTCCGGTGCGGCTACTTCATGAATCTCTTACAAGCAACCTATCCTCGAAAATGAAAAATAGACTTTTTAAAGTCCGACAATCCTTCACATATACGCTTTTACTCCACGACGCATCAAGGGAGCCCAGTGAAAAATTTTCTATGCAAGCCAGGCCTAGACCAGCGAACATTTCTATTGGGGATAATTTGATTAGGCAAATTTGTCCTTGTTATTGCAATCTATGGATGTATACTGCATAGTTTATATGATTCTAAATTATTAGTACCTTTTGAATACAAACTTTCAATTTCTCTGAGAAAACTCCATCGCAAGGTTAAGAAAACAGAGATGTGATTACGTGGGGTATGCATTTAGCGAGCTGAAGAGAAAATATGGACAGATGAAACTTCCCGGGCCTTAGAGCTCATCACATATAGAGAATCTTGATTCCGGGAGTCTGAGTAATATTGGGTATTCCATAAAGTTGTAAACCACACATGAAAATGGGTGTTTGCGGGTCTGTTGGTTGCATGCGTAATGCGATGCTATGTGGTGCGATGTGAAGTGAGGTGATATAGTATGGTATAATGGTGTGCCATATAATGTCGTGGGCGCGTGTGGCGTGTACTAAGACGAGGCCTAACAGTCGGTTTTGCGAAGAAATAAATCTTTTACTAGTTGACATACACGAATGGTTCTACGCCAAAGGTTTGGGATGAAGATATTCATGACTATTGTGACACTTAATAACGAGACGAGGGCTAGTAGTGAAGCCTTGAAGTGGGTGTGATATTCACACCCCACTAGTGGTGTGCGTTTGCCATGATTATGCGGCATATTAACAGCACTAAGGCAAATGCATGCCGAAAAATAAACATGTGATGCTTTAGATATGCTTAGACTTTATTATGCAGATGAGCATGGCAATGTAGTGAATAGGCTTCGCTGGCTGATAAGACTTTTGACTAGTGCTGCGGCGACCAAGTGTCGAGACAAGTGATGGGGATGAAAAATGGATCGTAAACATATAGCTATAAGCGCGAATAAGCACATTTGCCCACCTTAAAGCAATATCTTCCATCCTCTCATCATTTAAAAGAGATTGACTCTCTGATACAAAGACTCGCTTGTACGCGTGTACATCCGGGCACGATGCCACAGGTCAGGATTTTGGCCAATTAGATCAGAGCAAAAGTTCATTCTAGGTTCATAAATGTTTAATGTACCAATGAAGGGCAAGAATGTGAATGAGCAATCTCGAATGTGAGTAGGAAAGAGTTAATAAGCCTAACGGATCTGCAAAACGAATACAAAGTTGGATCATAGATATGATGACCAAAATTTAGTTCCAACTATCCTCTAGCGGACTAGCTAAGCCGTCTGTTTTTTTGGGTCTCGCTCAGCCCCCTCTGTCTCTAACTCTCACAATTGAGCATGAGTCCTTATTAAGTTTCATATTATCCCCATACCTTGTATTTAACCTATTTTTCGGATTTGTTTATTTCAATCACCTATTTTATTCTGTGATTATTAGGAGACGAATCATAATCATTATCTTGAGTTTCTGGTATAGGCCGGGGCCAGGCAACCTTGCAACTATTGTCCTAGTAATATTCAAGAGCCTTCAGGAGCATTTGGGTAGTATAAATGATGAGTCATAATTCTCTCTAAAAGGAATTTATTCCGCAAGAAAACAACAGGAAATCGTTGAAAATATTTGTATTACAATCATCTTCGCCATTAAGCATACCACTTAGAGTAAGA